GGGTATAAGGATAGGAGACTGAATAGGGTATAAGGATAGAAGACTAAGTAGGGTATAAGGATAGAAAACCTATAAGGATAGAAGACTAAGAAGGTATAAGGATAGAGAACATAAAATAGAATAATATAAGGATACCTGCCAATCCTTAACCAAAAACCCCCCATCCCCTACCCACCCCTCCCTCACCCCTCCCCTTCCCTCACCCCTCTCTCCTTCCCACCCCTCTCCTTCCCTCACCCCCCCTTCCCTCACCCCTCCCTTCCCTCCCCTTCCCTCCTCCCTCACCCCTCCCCCTTCCCTCACCCCTCCCTCGCTCCTCCCTCACCCTCATCCCTCCCTCCCTCACCCCTCCCCTCCTCCTCCCTCACCCCTCCCCTTCCCTCACCCTCCCCTTCCCTCACCCCTCCCTCCCCTTCCCTCACCCCTCCCTCCCCCCCTCACCCCTCCCTCCCTCACCCCTACCACCCTACCCCCTACCACCCTCACCGCAGATCATGGCCTGGCTGGACGAACTGGCGTCCACGCACCCCAGTCTGTGCTCCGTGAAGGAAGTGGGCACAACCTATGAGGGAAGGACCATGAAAATGCTGACGCTCAACAAGGGAGGAACCGACAAGCCCGGGATCTTCATCGATGGAGGTGAGGGAAGGGAGAAGGAAGGAAGGAGATAGGAGGAGAGAGAGAGAGAGTGAGGGGGGAAGGGAGAAGAAGGAAGGAGATAGGAGGAGAGAGAGAGAGAGGGGGGGAAAGAGAAGAGAGAAATAGAGAGTGCGAAAGAGAGAGAGAGAGGGGGGAGAGAGAAAGAAAAAAAAAAAACGAGAGAGAGATAGAGAGAGGGTGGAGAGGGAGGAAGATAGAGAGTGAGAGAGAGATAGAGAGACTGAGAGAGAGAAAAGGAGAGAGACAGAGAGAGAGAGAGAAAGAGAGAGAAAGAGAGAGTAATGCGAAGAAGAGAGGAAATGGGATTGTATATTTTCAAAAAAGAAAAAGAAAAATCTTTGATAAACATCTTGCAATTAGCTGAAATGTTTCTCTATGGTATTAATCATGTCACAGAGAAAATCTCAAAATATTATTGTTACTATCATTACGTTTCATTATTTCATTATTACTATTGACACCATTATTATTTTCATAATTGTCAATCATTATCATTATATGATTATCATAACTGTTATTATCATCGTTGTTATTGGTATCATATCATCATTCCTGCCATCATCATCATCGTCATTATCATTATAACGATTATCACGACTGCTGGTGCAGTATTATGATCCTTACAGTAATAATAAAATGGACACAATGTTATGATCATCATTAGCATCATCATCCTTATCGTAATCCCCACCATGACGAAACGAGTACAGAATCCTCCCGTTTTTTTCCCTTCGTCCTTCGTCCTTTTCATTTTCCTGTTCTTTCCCTTCGTCCTTTTCATTTTCATTTTCCTTTCTTTCCCTTCGTCCTTTTCATTTTCTTTTTCCTTTCTTTCCCTTCGTCCTTTCATTTTCATTTTCCTTTCTTTCCCTTCGTCCTTTTCCTTTTCCTTTCTTTCCCTTCGTCCTTTTCTTTTTCCTTTCTTTCCCTTCGTCCTTTTCATTTTCATTTTCCTTTCCCTTTCCTTTCATTTTCATTTTCCTTTCTTTCCTTCGTCCTTTCATTTCATTTTCCTTTCTTTCCCTTCGTCCTTTTTTCATTTTCCTTTCTTTCCCTTCGTCCTTTTCGCTTTCCCTTCGTCCTTTTCCTTTTCATTTCTTTCCTTCGTCCTTTCATTTCATTTTTCTTTCTTCCCTTCGTCCTTTTCATTTTATTTCCTTTCTTTCCCTCCGTCCTTTTTTTCTTTCTTCCCTTCGTCCTTTCATTTTCTTTTTCATTTCTTTCCCTTCGTCCTTTTCATTTTCCTTTCTTTCCCTTCGTCCTTTTCATTTTCATTTTCCTTTCTTTCCCTTCGTCCTTTTCATTTTCCTTTCTTTCCCTTCGTCCTTTTCATTTTCCTTTTCCTTTCTTTCCCTTCGTCCTTTTCCTTTTCCTTTCTTTCCCTTCGTCCTTTTCCTTTTCCCTTTCCTTTTCATTCACCTTTTCCTTTCTTTCCCTTTCGTCCTTTTTCCTTTTCCTTTTCTTTTCTTTCCCTTCGTCCTTTTCATTTTCATTTTCCTTTCTTTCCCTTCGTCCTTTTCATTTTCATTTTCCTTTCTTTCCCTTCGTCCTTTTCTTTTTCATTTTTTCTTCCTTCGTCCTTTTCATTTTCTTTTTTTCTTTTCCCGTCCTTTTCCTTTTCCTGTTCTTTCCCTTCGTCCTTTTCATTCACTTTTCCTTTCTTTCCCTTCGTCATTTTCCTTTTCTTTCATTTTCTTTCCCTTCGTCCTTTTCATTTCCTTTTCTTTTCTTTCCCTTCGTCCTTTTCATTTTCTTTTTCCTTTCTTTCCCTTCGTCCTTTTCATTTTCATTTTCCTTTCTTTCCCTTTCGTCCTTTTCATTCATTTCTTTTTCTTTCCCTTCGTCCTTTTCATTTTCATTTTCTTCTTTCCCTTCGTCCTTCGTCCTTTCCCTTTCTTTCCCTTCGTCCTTTTCATTTTCATTTTCCTTTCTTTCCCTTCGTCCTTTTCATTTTCCTTTTCTTTTCTTTCCCTTCGTCCTTTTCATTTTCATTTCATTTTCTTTCCCTTCGTCCTTTCATTTTCCTTTCATTTTTTCCCTTCGTCCTTTCATTTTCTTTCTTTCTTCCCTTCGTCCTTTCATTTCTTTCCCTTCGTCCTTTTCATTTTCCTTTTTTCTTTCCCTTCGTCCTTTTCATTTTCATTTTCCTTTTCTTTCCCTTCGTCTTTTCATTTTTTCCTTTCTTTCCCTTCGTCCTTTTCATTTTCTTTTTCCTTTCTTTCCCTTCGTCCTTTTCATTTTCTTTTTCCTTTCTTTCCCTTCGTCCTTTTCCTTTTCCTTTCTTTCCCTTCGTCATTTTCATTTTCCTTTCTTTCCCTTCGTCCTTTTCATTTTCATTTTACTTTCTTTCCCTTCGTCCTTTTCATTTTCCTTTTCCTTTCTTTCCCTTCGTCCTTTTCATTTTCCTTTCTTTCCCTTCGTCCTTTTCATTTTCATTTTCTTTCTTTCCCTTCGTCCTTTCATTTCATTTTCCTTTCTTTCCCTTCGTCCTTTTCCTTTCTTTCCCTTCGTCCTTTTAATTTTCCTTTCTTTCCCTCATCCGCCAGGTATCCATGCCTTTTCCTTTTCCTTTCTTTCCCTTCGTCCTTTTCATTTACCTTTCTTCCCCTCATTATTCTTTCCCATCGTCCTTTTCCTTTTCATTTTCCTTTCTTTCCCTTCGTCCTTTTCATTTTCCTTTCTTTCCCTTCGTCCTTTTCATTTTCCTTTCTTTCCCTTCGTCCTTTTCATTTTCCTTTCTTTCCCTTCCTTTTCAGTTTCCTTTCTTTCCCTTCGTCCTTTTCATTTTCCATTCTTTCCCTTCGTCCTTTTCCTTTTCCTTCTTCCCTTCGTCCTTTTCATTTCCTTTCTTTCCCTTCGTCCTTTTCATTTACCTTTTCCCCTCATCCGCCAGTCCTGGATTTCACCGTGACCTTTCATTTCCTTCTTTCCTTCCTTGCTTCCTTTTCCTTTTCCTTTCTTTCCCTTCTCCTTTTCCTTTCCTTTCTTTCCCTTTCGTCCTTTTCATTTCCTTTCTTCCCCTCATCCCCAGGTATCCACGCCTTCGTCCATTTCCATTCTTTCCTTCGTCCTTTTCATTTTCATTTATTTACCTTTCTTCCCCTCATCCGCCAGGCATCCACGCCCGCGAGTGGATTTCTCCCGCCACCGTCACCTACATGCTGAACGAGCTGGTCACCAACAGCGACACCTACGACGACATCTTGTCCGCCGTGAACTTCTACGTTATGCCTTCCATTAACCCCGACGGCTACGAGTACTGCCACACCGACGTAAGCTTGGGCCTGGCTGTTTTTTTTCGGGGGGGGGTGGGGGGAGGGGGGAAGGGTGAAGGGGGAGGAGGTCAGTAGCGACTCGGGGAGGTGTCGTGTGGCGTCTGATTTTTTTTTTTTTTTTTTTTTTTTTTTTTTTTTTTTTACGCACACGTGGGGTTTATTCTGATGACGTCACAGAAGTTGGATTTTTGGATTTTAATTATTTTGATTAATTAAAAATAATGATTTTAATGGTTATAATATTCATTGAACAATCATCAAAACAGACGCCATGACACCTCCTCCAGTTGCTACTGATCTAACCTTCCCCTTGTTTATGGCGCGCTGTTTTATAGTTAATCTCAATCGACACCAAATTGATTCACAAAAATCAGATTTTACGATAATGTTTTTATTCTTTAATTTTGAATAGGTATTAATAAGTTTTGTTTATGTATGAACACGTATATAAACACACACATACACACAGAGAATTCCATGTACACACACAAAAAAAACACACACACCCAGACTCCAAAACACACACACAACCAGACACCAAACACAAAAATATATACACAAAAAAACACACATCCAGTCTAAAAAATACACACACACCCAGACACCAAACACAAAAATAATCTCCATTTTCTCCTTTTCTCTAAAGATGACAAAAAAAAAAAAAAATAAAAAATAAATAAATAAATAAATCTCCTTTTTCTTCCTATCACACTCCCTTCCTAACACACATCCTGACCCCAAACGCCAAAATAACAACCTCCCTTTTCTCCCTTTCTATAAAGATAACAAAAATCAAGATAAATCCTCTTTTCTCTCCTACAACAGGATAGGTTGTGGCGTAAGACTCGCTCTGACAACGGTTCTCCTTTCGGTTGTAAGGGAGCCGATCCCAACAGGAACTGGGGACACCACTGGAACGGTTGGTACAATTTGGGATTCTCATTTTCGTTTGGTATTATGTGTGGTATAAATGGTATTATTATTATTTAATATTCATTTTTATCATCTTTATTATTATGGTTGTAAGCTAGACTTTCGATAATTGGTACCAACTATTCGATATTCATTTTAATCATTATCATTGTTATTGTTATTATGGTTGTTAAGCTAGACTTTCGGTAATGCGGTATTCACCAATATTATAACTTGGCCACTCACTAACACCATAAAAGCACCACCATTTCAACAACTTTACTCGCCGTTCCATTCCAAACACAACATTTTCATCATTCACCAACACCTTATGATTCACCAACACAACAAAGCCGATTCCACTTCACTAGCACCATTATTTTACCATTCACCCACACCACTTTACCGTTCACCACCACAACCTTACTCTTCACCACCATTACTTCACCATTCACCACCACAACACCATTCATCAACATAACTTCACCATTCACCACCACAACACCATTCACTAACACAACTTCACCATTCACCACCACAACGTTACCATTCACCAATACCACTTCACACTTTACCATTCACCAAAACAACTTCACCATTCACCACAACTTCACCATCCATCCATCCCTCCTCACTCTCACCCCCCCTCCTCACTCTCCCCCCCCCCCCAGAGAACGGCGCCTCAGACAACCCCTCCTCACTCTCACCCACCCCCTCACTCTCACCACCCCCTCCTCCTCACTCTCACCCACCCCTCCTCCTCACTCTCACCCCCCCCCTCCTCCCCCCCCCAGAGAACGGCGCCTCAGACAACCCCTCCTCACTCTCACCCACCCCCTCCTCACTCTCACCCACCCCTCCTCCTCACTCTCACCCACCCCCTCCTCCTCACTCTCACCCCCCCCCTCCTCCCCCCCAGAGAACGGCGCCTCAGACAACCCCTGCTCGGACATCTACGCCGGTCCCGAAGCCTTCTCAGAGATCGAGATGAAGAACGTGCGCAACCAGATCCTCGACCAGACGAACCTGGTGGTGTACCTGACCTTCCACTCCTACTCCCAGCTGTGGCTCTACCCTTGGGGCTACACTTCAGCTCTCCCCGAGGATTGGCAGGATTTGGTGAGTGTAGCCGTGGGATTGGACGAGGACGCGGTGGTCGGATGGTTCGAGGGATCAAAGACTGTCCGGGTGATCTGAGTTCGAGGCTTCGAGTCCCGGCCGGCGCGTTGTTTCCCTGTGGAATTTCACCTCTATTGACTATAGATATAGGGGGACGTGAAAGGAATAAGCCCAACGTATGTTCCTACGTGTCGTAAAAAAAAAAGGTGACCATGGAAGCTTCTCCCCAACCCACACTGGGCCAAGGAAGAGTATGGCCCACCCTCTCTCCATGATGGTACACGTTTTAAACAATATTAAGGCGGGACCTGTTGAGTCAGCGAGTTTCAAAGGAATATTAGAAACAGAACGATGTAGGGAAAGGTCTAAGGAAGACTTATGTCCAACAACAGATGTAAAAGAGGCTTGAAAAAATAGAAAGGGGTTTCGTCTGCTTTTTTTTTTTTTTTTTTACACTGTTATTCTTTTTTCCTTTTACACTTGGTTTAATTTTGAGTTTAAGCCTGAGTCTAAAGTTAGTTTCGACACCAGCGCTGAAGTTTTGACAGAGCTCTGAAGCGGGTTCTGACACTGGGTCTGAAATTAGCCTTGAGACTGTATCTGACACTGCCTTGAATACTGACTTGACACGAGCTAGGAAGTTGAATGGAATCTTTACATTGACGTTTGCTCTCAAGTTGGTTTTTGTCTTGCTTTAGACACTGGCTTTAAAATTAGCTTCGATCTTGGGTTCGATACAGGCTTTCCACCATTTTTCTCTTTCAATAGAGTGAGATAGAGATAGAGACGGAGAATGAGAGAGAAAAAAAAGAGAGAAAGAAAGAGAAAAAGAGAGACCATGAAACTTTGAGACAGAGATAGAGACGGAGAATGAGAAAGAGAACGAGAGAAAGAGAAAAAAAAAAGACAGAGAGAAAAAGAAAGAAAGAGAAAAAGAGAGACCATGAAACTTTGACACAGAGATAGAGACGGAGAATGAGAAAGAGAACGAGAGAGAGAAAAAAAAAGACAGAAACAGAGAAAAAAAAGAAAGAAAGAGAAAAAGAGAGAGACCATGACACTTTGAAACCCAAAGCAAACTGATTCATTAACCAGTATCGATTAACAGAAGCTAATCCTTCCCTTGCAGGATGACTTGGCCCAATCCGCCGTGAACGCTCTCACAGCTGTGCACGGAACCATCTACGACATCGGATCCTCCACCAACGTTTTGTGTGAGTTAAGAGCCATAGAGCTTTTTATATCACTCTATGAACTTTTTATATCACTATGAACTTTTTATATCACTCTATGAACTTTTTATATCACTCTATGAACTTTTTATATCACTATGAACTTTTTATATCACTCTATGAACTTTTATATGAACTGACTTTTTATATCACTCTATGAACTTTTTATATCACTCTATGAACTTTTTTATATCACTATGAACTTGAACTTTTTATATCACTATGAACTTTTTATACTTCTCTATGAACTTTTTATATCACTATGAACTTTTTATATCTATGAACTTTTTATATCACTATGA